AAGGGCTCATCGGGCTGCACTCATTGGTCGTGTGTGTACAGCGTGTCGCGCGAGACGTGCATTGGAGGCCCGGTCCAGCACGAGGTTTGCGAACGCCAGCCCAAGATCGTGATCAACATAGAGTGCTCTGACGAGGTGCACCGCGGCCAGGCACTGCTGACGGTCATCGTCTCACCTTGTTGATTTGGCTCGCGGTGGCGCTGTCGCTTGCACGGAACCTGCCGGAGGGCGTGGCCCGCGCGAAGCTCAACGTGTTGTGGCTGGTGGTGTCGTGGTGCGAGGAGGTGTCGCACTGGCCTGCCATGGCAGCGGTTCGCCTCCGCCCAGTGCCCGCGGAGTCGGACGCACAGCAGGGTCGCGCCGCACAGCAGGCGTGAAGACGCTGAAGCTCACGGCGTCGTGGGTGCCCACGCATCGTGGGACGGCGATAGCGACAAGTGCGGTGACGGGGCGGAAGAAGGAAGGTCGTTGCGTGCACGGTAACGGACCAGTGCGGAGCATGTGACGTCGTTTGCTCACGTTTGTGGTGCTGGTGTTGCAGGTGGGCTGGGCTCCGGCACCTCTCCACGCGGCGAACAGGGACGGCGCGAATTTCTTCCGTTTGTTCGAGAATCCGCCCACGAGGTAGGGGCATTTCGTGGACGTATATTGCGCACCGTCGATTGTTGGAAACACTGTTCGGGGCCAGCGCTGGCCAACATTCCATGGAAGGTTCGAGATATCACCCGTTCGCCTACTCACCCGGGATCATGGGTGTGAGAGTAGGAGAGCGCTCTCCCATTCAACTCTTCTCCTACTTGTTTGGACCAGTGGGTGGGCGAGTTGTTCCGCCTCGTTTGGTACCGCAGGTGGGAGAGTAGGAGGGCACCCTCCCAATCGCCTGCTATCTTATTCGTTTGGAACCATGGGAGGGACAGTGGGAGAGCCCTCTCATAGTCGCCTGTTCTCCGACTCGTCTGGAACCAAGAGAGCGTTCTCCTATTCGCCTACTCTCTTACTTGTTCGGAACCACGGGTTGGCATGTAGGAGAGCGTTCCCTTCTTCGCCAACTCTCCGACCCATTTGGAACCATAGGGCTTCTATTGTCTGTTCGCGTTCCCTCTCTTGGGGTTTCTAGGGCCGTCTTGGAGCTTTGAGGCGCCTCTCGGGCCGCGTTGGGGCGCTCTTGGGCCGTTTGGGGGCCCTCCTGGAGGCCTGTTCGGCCGTCTCGGGGCGGTTTCGGGGGCCTCGCAGGCTGCTCTGGAGTGCCAGGCTAACGTATGGGCGAGGACGCAAAATCCTTCAAACATGTAAGAAAGATCAATGGTGTTTGCCTCTCGGAGCCTTCTTGGGGCGTCCTGGAGGCCTCTCGGGCCATCTTGATACCATCTTAGGAGTCTTGGAGCGATCTTTCGGCGACTCGGGACCCTCTTGGGCCGCTCCGGGGGGCTCCCAGGGCTTTCTCGGCCCGCCCCGAGCCTCCTCGGGCCCGAAAAAGTCGTGCGGGGAGACGCGACAAACCCCTGACCAGATGTGAGAAACTCCCAGAGATTTCGCACTTGGGGCCCCGAGCCCCTCAAGGACTCCTCTGGGGTGCGGACTTAGGCTCAGGGGAGGGCAAAGGAGGGCGCGCCCTTTCCGTGCCCAGTGGCACGGTGGCGGATATCGTGGATTCATATTTCAACCGGCGCGCTCACAGACCGAACGTATAATCATACATATTGATACATATATATATATATAGAGAGAGCATGTACTGAATACACACGTACATATATATATATATATACACATGTATATAATTATATACACACATATAGTATAATTTGAAGACGCATACATTTACATGCTATAGTTCTCTGAACGCCTTTCTCTCTCCCCTCCGGCCGCATCCGTCTATGCTCAAGTCTTTTCGAGGCGGCGACGCCTGAGGTGAATGATTTTTACCACCCTCACTCCTTTCTGGGAAGCTGGAAAGCTTGCCTGGCCGGCGCTCTCCCCTCTGGCCTCGAACGCTCTGGCGTGTGCGGTGCAGTCAAGCTACTTCGGCTCCCCGTACTCGCTGCGCCTCCTCACGTTCGCCCTCGGGCTGGCTGTGGGTGCTGCGCTGAACTCCTGCGCCTGGCGACGGGATGCCGGAGCTGGCCCGCCGATACATGCAGCCAGGGAGAGAGGTGATCGTCCGCTACGACACCGAGCGCCGCCTGTGGCATCGACGGACGCTGATAGAGCCTTGCGACGCGGTGGTGCTGGCCCGCGTGATGGGCGAGCCAGCAGACGACCCTTCCGCTCTCATCATGCGGGTGTGGACGCCGACCGGGGACATCTACCCGGAGGAGCTGGGCGTGCCGCCGCTCCTCGGCATCGCGCCGTGCGATCTCGAGGGGACGCCGCTGCGGGAGGCTTGCCTGGGTCCTCCATCTCATTTTGGACGGCTGTTCGAGTCTGGACAGGTCCTTCGGCCAGCACAGTACGAGAGAGCTCGAGCGGTCTTTCGAGCACAGAATCGTGGTCAAGTGGCTCCAGCTCCGGACGCAGAGCCTCTTCTGGACGACGATGGTGAGCCTGACGACGGTGGCGGTGCCCTCGCGCCTGTGGGCGCGCCAGTTGTCGGCGGCACCTTGACGCCGCTGGCCCCGCCCGCCCCCGCCCCGGAGGACGTCAGGATTCTCAAGATCGCCGACGAGCTCGGGGTCACGTTCGGAGGAGGCCGCCTGCCGGCCCCAGACGGCCGCTGGGTCGACGTCAGCTCCGCCAACGTTCTGGCCCTCGACTCGCCAAGTGGGGGCGTCTGGGTCGTCGGCCCGGGGTTCGGCATGCTGCTGAAGGACGGTTCGCTGCGGCTCATCGCGGACCGCGGTGCGGGGCCGGTCGACACTGGCGACGATGGCGGGGAGGCGGAGCTCGACGCGCGCATCCTGGAGGTCTCGCGAGACCGGCTGGGCAAGCGTTTCAAGGACTTCAAGATCGCTGTCGACTTGGTCACGGAGACGGCGTGGGATTCATGGCCCTTGACGGGGCCGCGGACTACAAAGTGGTGTTTGCAGTTTACTCTTCAGACTAATGGTCACCCGAGGGCTCTTCATTCGTGGTGGAAGTCGACGTGCGGGCTCTCTATTGCGGACCCTGGAGTTTCAGATCATGAAGCGGCTATGAAGGCCGTGGAGTACGCCCTGACCTACGACCAGGTCAACGCCGCTGAATTATCTTTCGTGGAGCTTCTCCTGCGGCGGGCGCAGCTGGCCGAGTACCGCTACAAGCACAAGCTGCTGTGGACAGACGGCCAGGTCGACGCTCTCCTGCAGGACGAGTTTCTTTACCTCGGGGTCAGGGAGACGCGTGGACAGCTGATGCTCTGTCCACTGTTGGAAGAGTTCGTGGCGTCGGAGCTCCACCGCGAGAGCACGATCACGAAGGAGTCGAGGAAGCTGAACGAGGAGAGGAGGCTACAGGCTGGTCAGGCTTCTCATGTCCATCGACCCCTCGTGGATGCTGCGGCTGGCCTTCTGACGTTCCCGGGCGGCCCTGGGGGCAAGGGCAAGACTAAGGCTGAGCGAGCTGCCGAGCGAGCCGCCGGCAAGGCGCACGCGAAGGGCCTGGGCAAGGCCACCGCGGCGGGCAAGGCGGGGGCTGGAGGCGCTTGATCGGCCAGGCGGCTGGGGCCCCCGTCCAGCCGCTGAAACCAGGGATGACAATCAGCCGCGAACTTCTACCCCTCGCGCTGCCATATCCTCGTGAAGGCTATTTTTCTTCTCCAGCCTCTGGGTGCCGATCTGTGCGACGCCGTGTGCACGTTCGTCGGCATTGGCAGGCTTGGGTTAATTCGGCGGTGGAGTGCTTGAACGAGATGGAGGTTCTCGCCGACGTCTATCGGGCCATGCCCCCGCCTCCCTGCGCCGCCGCGCAAGCCCTCAGCGAGCTTGGCGGCAGCCGCCCGGGCTACGCGGACAGCGACCCCAGGCGCAACTTCCAGCCTGACCTAGTCTCCTTGCCCACGGTGGGCGGCCTGGCGGACGGCGAGCAGGTGCTGTCCGGTCAGGCTCTTGAACGCTGGAGGTCTGTTTCGACTACCTTGCGGCCAGAGTCCTCTGGCAGCTCAACTTCGGCTAATACTTCAATTCGCCCTTGCAGCGACCCTTCTCTGGTCAAGGACCAGGTGCGGTACAGTAACTTCGTCATGCAAATGCTGGAGGCCGGTCTGGTCACCATGCGTGCTGAGCGCCCTGCTACGGTTGGCATCTTCTTCGTGGCGAAGAAGGACGGGCGCCTGCGCATGATTTTGGACACCAGAGCGGTCAACGACCTCTTCGAAGAGCCGGCGCACTCGCGCCTGCCAGCTCCTGCGTCACGGGCCTCCGTTGAGATCGGGCTCACGGACGACCTCATTCTGCCCCAGATGGACGTCGACAACGCCTTCTACCGCTGCAAGGCGCCGCCCGGCGTCTCGGCCCTTTTTGCGCTGCCCCGAGTTTCTGCTCGGCACCTTCATCGAGTCGACGGGAAGTTGGCGACCAAGCTTGGCGTGACCGCGACCGGTTACGTCACGCCCCACCTTGAGGTCATGGCCATGGGCTGGTCGTGGGCTCTTTACTTCTGCCAGGCGATGGCGACGGCCAGCGCGCTCCGCGCGGGCGTGCCGTCGGAGGCCTTCTTGCTTGACAAGAAGCACGCGCCCGACATCACTGGCGACAAGTTCGGGACGGCGATCTACGTCGACAACGCGGGGGTCATCGGCGCCAGCGACGACGTCGTCAGGGACATGGCCAAGAAGCTCTACGCCCAGCTCGCGGCGGACGGGCCCCAGTGCAAGGATCTCGAGCACGGCTTGCCCGAGGCCCAGTTCACGGGCATGACGCTCGACCCGGCCACCGGACGTATTTCAGTCGGCCACCGCCGTTGCTGGAAGGTGCGCCTCGCCATCGCGGCCATCCTCGAGGACGGGTTCGATCTACCGCTTCATAGAGGTGGCTGGCGACTCGCGCATCAAGATCTGGCCCGCGGTATCCTGGGAGCTCCGTTGGATGATGGCGCTGCTGCCTCTGGCCTACACGGACAGCAAGAGGCCTTGGAGCACGCAGGTCGTTGCGACGGACTCCGAGGGCGCCAACGTCACGGACAACGGGGGGTTCGGCATTGTGGTGAAGCCCTTCGAACTCCAGACAGTGAGAGAGTGGGGCCGGCAGAGCGAGCGCTGGAGGTTCGCAGTCGAGGACGCTGTGCAGGCCCGCCGCCGCGCCTTGGCTTCCGATGCGGAGCCGTCGGGCGCGCCGCGGCCGTGCGAGGGGGCTCTACCAGATGAGCTCCCTCCCGAGCTCATGGACATCCGGCGCGAGAGTATCGGGCCCTTCTCTAGCTGGGGATTGAAGGTTCGTGGCCGCTGGCGAGTGGCCGAGAACATCGCGTCATCAGAGGGGAGGGCGACGGTCATCGCTGTCAGAAATCGTCTTCGGTCGGTTCGTCACTTCTCCCATCGCCACCTCTTCCTTGGAGACAACTTGGGGTTCGTCTTGGCGCAGGGGAAGGGCAGGGCGAGCAGCATGGTCGTCAACCGGCATTGTCGTCAACTAGCTGCGTCGTCGATGGCATCGGATTCGGACTTCGTCTCGAGATGTATTCCTTCAGAGTTCAATCCCTCCGACGCCGCCTCCCGGATCAAGACGGGGCCGCCCGTGCGGGGCGGCGGCGGGCCGCGGGATGCCTGTCCACCTTGGGCAGCCCGAGGCCCGGAGGTGCGCGCCTCGCTCCAGGCTGCTGTCGAGGCGCTCGCCCGAGCCAGCGGCGACCCAGACGCCCCGCCCGAGTTCGACGACGGGCTTTGGCGTCCGGGCGGCGGGCCTTGCACGTTGGGACCATCAAGCACTTGGCGCGACTGGGTTGACGACGGAGGCTTCGAGGCTTTCGATTCGGATAGCGACGACTCGGAGGCTGCTGCTCTCTCGGACACAGCCTCTGCCTGCGAGGAGACCTGTGACGGAGGTCAGCCATCAGCCACCCGCCCAGCAGCGGAGGCAACGCGCTCGCCGCCGTCAGCTGGCCCACCAGGACGAAGCTTTGAGGGCGCGCAGTTTCGGCCAGTACTTCTTGGAGGTGAACAAGGTGACGCGTCCTTCTGCCATGATGTACGACAGGTACTTTCAGGACTTCCAGACCTGGGCCAGCAGCAACGGCCTGCCGCTGAACGCCAGCGAGGACATCTCCCTCGCGATGCTCGAGTACCTGGAGGACCTCTACTTCGTGGCCACAACCACGACTCGGGCGAGAAGGTGATCGCGGCGCTGGGGAACAGGATCCCGGGCATCCGCAGCGCGAAGGTCCTTGAGCGGGCCAAGAACGCGCTCAAGGGCTTCAGGGGGCTGGCTCCCGGTCTCAGCCGGGCGCCTCTGCCGTGGATCGGCCTGTGTGCCCTAGTGGGCGCGGCTCTACACATCAACGATCTGGAGTTCGCGCAATGCCTGGTGTTCTTGTTCCGGACGTACCTGAGCCCAGCAAGTGCCTGGGCCTGCGAGTGGATCAGCTCGTTCCTCCGCTCCCCGGTTCGGGTACCAAGTTCTGGGCGCTGCTGCTGGCGCCCGAGGAAGAGGCCATCCCCACGAAGACCAAGGAGTTCGACGAGAGCATCCTGCTGGACAGTCCGGAGCTGGTCTGCCTCTACCCGCGCTTCTCAACCTTGAAGAAGCGCTCAGGCCGGGACAAGGTGTGGTCCTTCGACTATCGGAGCCTGTTCAAGCGCGTGTCGGAGGCTGCGGGCCTGGGCCAGGCCAACCTCCACCCGTGCATGATGCGGCACGGGGGCGCCAGCGACGACGCGCTCAGGCAGACCCGCTCCTTGGAGGAGATCAAGCGCCGCGGCCGCTGGGCCGCGGACACATCAGTCAAGAGGTACGAGAAGCATGCAAGAGTTCTGAAGTCGCTAGAATGCCTGCCCAAGCTGGTGCGGGACTACGGCCTGGTCATCGAGTGCCAGCTGAAGCTGCTGCTGGCCCTGCAGGCCAAGCCGCTTCCGCCGCCCAGACTGGGCAGGAAGCGCCTGCACGGGAAGGGATAAGACGGCCTTTTCACGGAGGCCGTGGGGACCACAACGCGGGTTTGGATCAACATTTGCCTGCTCATGTAATTCGAGGTAGACTTCGGAAAGTTTTTCAGCGTGCAGCCAGTCTTGGTCATGACAATCGCGTGTATCTAGATTTATTCTCGGGCACAGGTGCCGTTGGTGAACGCCTGAACTCGATGAAAGAAAGTTGCATCAGCTTTGACTCTCTCAATGGACCAGAGTATGACCTCACCAACCCTGTTGTGGTCAACGTGATCTTGGGTTGGATCCAGTCCGGCGTGGTGAAAGGAATCATCGCCGCCTTCCCATGCAGCAGCTGGACTCCAGCTTTGTTCAAGCAGATTCGCAGACCTTGGTGCCCTTACGGAATTCCGAACCCGACTCCCGCGGAGGCCGCTAGACTGAAGACGGGTAATCAGACTCTGAAGGTCACCTGTAGGCTTGTGAGGGCTTGTATCCGGGCGCGCGTCTCCGTTTTGCTAGAGAATCCTCACGCCTCGAAAGCGTGGCGCGAAGTGCGAATGTCGGCCTTGATGGGCTATCCCTCCCGTAAGCAGCTTGTGATCGATCAGTGCGGTTTCGGAGCCCGTTGGCGTAAGCGCACTCGCTTTGTAGGCTGGCGCGTCCCTATGCTTCGTCACGAACACTTGCTGTGTAAAGGCCACGGGTGTTGTTCCTTTAGCCTGAAACCGCACATCATCCTTTGGGGTAAGGCTCCGGGGTCTGGTATCAACTTAACCGCTCTCGCGGCTTCCTACCCTAAGAGGCTATCGGCTGCCATTGCGATTTGGCTCGTGAGATCCGTTGAAACCCTCCGAGGAGCCCGTTTAAATCAGTTAGTTGGGTAAGGTTTCACCTCAGGCGGCTCCAGAGCACAGTATGGGTCTGGGGGTTTTGAAGTTTCGTGCCGGCCCGGTGGGCCGCCTTGGTGAAGGCCGAGGCTCTCGGCCCCGGTCTAGCTCGAGCTGTGCTGAAGAGATTCGCTATGCATTTCAGTCGCACACAGATTGACAAATGAGAACGGTTGCGACTGCTGTGAATACAGGGCTGTCGCCCGCTTCCGTCTGGCCTAGAGGGCGAGAGATGCTATAGTTCTCTGAACGCCTTTCTCTCTCCCCTCCGGCCGCATCCGTCTATGCTCAAGTCTTTCCTCCCGCCGTCCCCTCCTATCGCCACTACGGTGAGGGGGTTTTGAAGTTTCGTGCCGGCCCGGTGGGCCGCCTTGGTGAAGGCCGAGGCTCTCGGCCCCGGTCTAGCTCGAGCTGTCCTGAAGAGATTCGCTATGCATCTCAGTCGCACACATATTGAAAATGAGAACGGTTGCGACTGCTGTAAATACAGGGCTGTCGCCCGCTTCCGTCTGGCCTAGAGGGTGAGAGATACACATACGTGTGTATATAAATATATACGCGCATATACACGCCATTGCTTCGACGGAGGCCTTGCGAGGCGGCGAGCAGGTACGGGGGCCGAGAATGCACTGGCAAGGGAACTGGCATGCGCTGGGGGACCTGGCCAAATGAAGGCGCGCTTGTGCATTGTGCGTCGCGGCTGATGGGTCGCAACATGCGCGCAGATGCATCGAGGTGCGCCAGACGTTCCTGGCGGGGTCGCGGGCTGGCAAGCAACGGCCGCCGACTCCGCCAGCTCGGCTGCGAGCGCGGGCGACCGCCTTGAAGAGGCTAGCGGCCCGTTGCGCTAGCCACTAGCACTGCGGCCGCCGCTGCGACAACCGCTGTCGAAACCATGTAGATTGCCATCATCGTTCCCGCAATGTGCATCCTTGTCGCCGTCGCCGAAGCCGCGGCAGCCGCAGCGCCGTGCAGTTCGAGTTAATACCACGTAAATACAAGCCAACACGATACAAATACCATACGCATACAAGCACAATACAAACCAAACGCAATACAAATACCATACCAATACAATGCGCATAGCAAAGTTTTGCTGCCTGCGGGGCTTCCGCAGCCTGGAGCAGTACCAGGGGTGCCAGCTCATCCGCCTGGGTGCCGCATTCGGCCTTGCCCTACGGGCTGACGCATCTGGGGATGCCGCTCATGCTCGTGATGTTCGTGCTGGCGCAGTTCATCCGGTTCTTCGTGGTGGAGTCGGTCGTGCCCCTGCTGTCCATGAGGTGCCTTGTGGTGAAGGCGAACAGCATGAAGCTATTCGCCATGCTGCTGCGGGACCTGCTGGTCCTCCAGGCCCCAGCCCCAGTGAGGGCAAGGGCACGCGAACTCCCAATCCATGGTTTTCGAGCAACGCCGATCCTTCGGCGCCCGCGGCTGCGGACACAACCGCTGCTAGACCTGGCGGCGTTCGAGGGCCTCACCATGATCACGATGACCGTGTTGCGACTGTTCGGCGTGCGCGTTCTTCGGCATTCCCTTGCCATGGTGGTCCTGTTCACCGCCATGATCCAAGTGCTCGCGATGCTGTTCGGCTGGCACACTTTTCGGTGGCGGCGGACCCTGGGGACTCCCTCGGTCGCGTTCCTCCCGGGAGCGGCAAGTACAAAGGCGAGGACAAGCCGGAGCTGAAGAAGGCCTTCAATGGATGAGGGTGGCTCCGAGCGGGGCGCGCGGCTCCTCCCCCTCCTCGCCTCCGCGGGCCGCGGCAAGGCGTGCGCGCAGGCGCTTGACGGTTGTGTCCTCTGTTGATTAGGTCTTCTGGCATGTTGGTTGGTGGGGAGCCGTGCGCCGCTGGACGGAGCAGGGTCTTTCCACCAACTTTCGCTGGTGGAGAAACCCCGCCTTGCTCTCGAAGTGCGCAACCCGAACGAATCCACTGCAATCCAACCCGATGCAATCCAATCCAATCCAATTCAATCCAATCCAATCCAATCCAATCCAATTCTCCTCCTCGCTCTTCTAGCAAGGATTCGACGCCAGCCCCCCGAGGAGCAGCCGCACCTGACGGCGCTGCCCAACACGCCGCGGGCCGAGGAGACCTCTCGCCGTGTCGCGTCCCCCCCCCGCCGCGCGTAGGCGGGCGGAAAGGCAGGGGTGCTGCGCCGCAGAAGGATGGCGCTCCGCAGAGACGTGGCACCCCGCACTTGCGGATAAGAATGAAGGTGCGGCGGCGTTCTCGCCGAGAGCTTACGCCCAGGATCCTTCGCCCAGGACCCCCCGCCCAGGACCCCACCGCCCAGAGCCCCCGCCCAGGACCCCACCGCCCAGAGCCCCCCGCCCAGGACCCCCCGCCCAAGACCTCCTGGCCGTAGCGCCTACCCCCCCCTTCGCGCGCCGGCGTGCGGGCAGGCAAGGGTGCCGCGCCGCAGAAGTATGGAGCTCCGCAGATCGGGCTGTCCTGGCCAAGCCAGGAGATCGTATGTACCAGTCCTGAGTTCAGGATGGTCCTGGCCAAGATTGAAGTATGTGTATACTTACGTCTCTTAGACCTCGCCGTTGCGTCCCCCGCCCTTGCCGGCGGGCCGAAAGGCGAGGGTGCTGCGCCGCAGAGGGATGGTGTTCCGCAGAGCGACGAACGGACAGCACACGCGCGCACACACACAACACACAACACACAACACATAACACACAACACGCACAACACACACACACACAACACACACAACACACACACACACCACACACACACACATACACCCTATACAGCAGGTTCGCGTCGTGTCAACCGGAGGCGGCCCCGCCGCTGGCGTTCCACGTGGAACGCCGGCGGCGGCCCAGAATCGGTCGACGTTGAACGATCGGACGTTTCGGAGACGGCCGATTGTACATCCCCGCGCTGTCAGAAACCAGCGCCGAAGTCGGCACGACACGAACCTGCCGTAGGGGGGTCGGAGGGAGGAGGACTGGCTGTGGGCACGGATGCGGGCTGTCGGACCCCAGGGGGTCTCCCGTTCGAGCAGGGACCCCATCAGACAGCACGCACCCTATGGCCCCCTCCGTCCCCCCTATGGGTACGGGTGCGTGTTGTTCGTTCGTCATAGAGGGCTGTGTCAGAATTTCTCGAAGGAGGGCGAGCTGAGACAACGGTCGTTGACCTTCGGGGGGGCCCTTCGTGCCACGGCTGGACGCAGCTCAGAAAATTGTTGCGTTTGGACCCGGGGAGGGGTCCGGGGACCGATGTGGAGCTGCCGTTGTCTCAACTCGCCCCACTCCGAATATCCCAGCTGGCTGCGGGCAAGTCCCGCCACCGTGCCAGCCCAGCATCATGGGTGGCGATTGTTCCAGGGGGCACGGAAGGCCTTCACGCATGGCACTTCATGGTACCAGACGTGAGAGACCGCGATGAGGATGATGAGGGTGTCGTGCTCCGGAGAGGGCTGTGTCAGAATGTATCCTCCTGGAGACCTTTTGGGGTCACCGTGGGACTCCCCCTGACTCCCCCTCCACCGCGTTATCCTTCTCTTACTCCCCACGTCACTTCACCTCCCCTCTCTTCTCCTCCCTCCTTTTCTTCTCCTCGTGACAGCCGACGAACGCAGATGGGGGCAGATACAGGAGACGGACATGATAGCAAATCTACATCGCGGCAGGCTGAACTGCTAAATATTTTGCTGGCGTGTACAGACGTTGACAAGAGAAGCCAGCGAGAGAGTCGTAAGGCATCCGAGATGTTTGACGGGACGCCTGGCACTGATATAATTTGAGAGAACATGCAAGCAGTCCCCCTACGCCGCTGGTCTTGTACAATATGGGAGCAGGCGGGAGTGCAGACAGTGCCTGCAGAAGCCAGCGCAGAGCAAGTTGTCGGAGTGGTTGCAAATCATATGCGCGCCCATTGCGGCAGTGGGGGCTCCCAAAGCGTTTCGTGTCGACGCCACTCGAGTGGGCCTCAAAGGCGCGCATGCGAGGCGCGCTTGCCAGTGTTTCGAACACGTCGAGGGCTGGGCGTGCACCACCCGTTGATCCCGCAGGGTCTTCCCGAGAAGGGAAAAGTCGGACGGGCTAGGGCGAGGATAATCCGTTGCAGAGCTTTCTGGAACGCTCCGAGAAGGCCGCAACGCCCGACACATTCTCCAGAGCGGCCGAACCTCAGAGATTCTCGCTTTATCCTCACCCAAATTTGTCTTCGTCCTGGCTTCGTCTCAGGAAGGGAGTCTCCGCAGGTCCCGCCAGGGATTCTATCTTGGGACCTGGGGCGTGACCGGAGGCGCTTGACTGCGCCGAGGAGCGCGCGGGCAGGCAGGCGGACCGATCGCTACCCAACCCGAAGGCCCCAAGTTGCCGGGCCACGCTGGGCCACCTGCGCCGAAGGGCCCCACGCTGGGCCACCTGCGCCGAAGAGCCCCCCTCCTCCTCCTCCTCCTCCTCCTCCTCCTCCTCCTCCTCCTCCTCCTCCTTTCTTCTGCCTCCTTTCTTCTGCCTCCTCCGAACTAAAAGACTCACCCTCCTCCTCCTCGCCCTCTCCCTCCTCCTCCTTGCCCCCGTTGTCCTTCCTCCTCTCCTCCCCCATGGGCACCGCGAGGCGCTCCTCTTGCCCTCCTGGGCGCGGGGCTCCGCGGGCGCGGGGAGCCAGTCTCCGTCTCCACTGGCCCGTCGTCCTCGTCGTCGTTCGGCCCGACACGCCAGTGCATCGACATACAGTCGGGGCCCTGAAGAAGGAACCCTTTTGGTTGGGGAGGGGCTCCGCGTTCCATAAGTGTTTCACAGCTTGCCTCAGGTTTTCCTCATGTTTTCGATAGGAAGTCGAAGTTTAACTTATGGAAAAAAGGGGCCTCGTTCCTTATTTAGGGTTCCTTAGGTCAATGCCCCGACGGTATTTGTTTTGAGCTCCTCGCGGGTTTCTTGGACCTGCGCTGAGGCCCCGTGGCGGCGCCTCCGGCCACCCCTGGCGTGCTCCACGCCCCAGGCAGGGGGGGGGTTCAGCGCAGATCGAAGAAATCCACGCGGACCTCCAGAGGTGTACGTTTGTGCAGTCTTTTCCGACTTGAACAAGAACATATGGGTCCCGTAAGCCCCCCAACACGACATTCGGGACTTCGAGTTGTGCTGGGGTGGTCTGGGGGGTCATCAGCAGCACGAGGCAGTAACGCGGACCATCTGATCGGGCAGCAGAGAAAACTGCGAAAGCATGAGCAGGCTGCTAGGACACTCGTATGGAGGAGCAACCATCGGCATAAACATGAAATGTCGGAACTCCGCGCGGAGTTCTTGGATCCGCGTTGGACCACCCTTCCCAGCGTGGCGCCGATCCCAGAAGTCTGGCGGAGCTCTGAAAGTTCATGTGCTTGTTGTGTGTCCCTATCCTTGGGTTATGCCATGCCCAGGTGTGCGACACAAGAGAATCTGGTTCGACTGCACGGACATTTGCGCGCAAGCTGCCCGCGTAAGTTCGCGCGTCGGCGCCATCGTTTTCAATGCATCATAAGGGAGAAATGGAAACAGACTCTAGTAAACGACGATTTCCATGAAAACTATTGAAACATTGGGATTGGAGGGGAAGACGAACACCTATAACATTTTGAAACATATCGGGGAATCCAGGGATGTGTGCCCATTTGTTTGTGTGTCCCTGGACCCCTTCAGTGTAGCGTGCCGCGCTGGCGGCCTGCGTAAGCCTCCGCATGAGGTCGCTGTGCCACCTCGCGCAAGACCCGCTTCTTTTCTCCGCCCACTTGGCTGCAGACGCCCCTCGGACTCCCAGCCCTCCCGAGGGTTGGAGGATGAGGAGTAGGGCAGACGCCTCCTTGGCCGTCGCGCCAGCACTGCAGCCGATGTGTCGTAGAGCACGGCGTTTCAGTTCAGTTCAGTTCAGTTCTAAACGCCATCGCGTTTTGAGCATCGTTGTCCTCGGTCCCTGCCTGGCTTCCATGCATTAAGCCATCCGTCGAAGCTCTCCGCGCCGCCGAAGCCCGCCGCGCCGCCTCGCCGCCTCGCAGGGGCAGGGCGACGAGCCCGCGGCGGCGCCGGAGGGCACGCAGCAGTCTCAGCGGCTGAAGCGGTACCTCACGGGGCACGTGGTCACCAGGCCCGCCTTGGGAGGAGGAGGAGGAGGAGGAGGAGGAGGAGGAGGAGGAAGAGGAAGGGGAAGAGGAGGAGGAGGAGGAGGAGGAGGAGGAGGAGGAGGAGGAAGAGGAGAAGGAGGAGGAGAAGGAGGAGGAGGAGGAGAGGAGGCGGAGTAGGAGGGGGAAAAGGAAGAGGAGGAGGAGAAGGAGGAGGAGGAGAGGAGGAGGAGAGGAGGAGGAGAGGGAGGGGGAAGAGGGGGAGGAGGGGGAGGAGGAGGGGGGGAGGAGGAGGAGGAGGAGGGAGGAGGAGGAGGAGGAGGAGGAGGGAGAGGAGGGGGAGGAGGAGAAGGAGGAGGAGGAGGAGGAGGAAGAGGAGGAGGAGGAAGAGGGTCCGCACTTCAGTTGGTAGTCCGATCGGGTCATCGGCAACCTGTAACTGTCGTCACTCTTTGGCTCCTTTGGACTGAATGTGGAAGAAGTCTCAGGCGGGAACTTTGTTTGTGAGTGAATTGCGAGGAAGTCTCAGGCGGGAGCCCCCTCCTTATGGGGTCCGCATTTCATGTTGGTAGTCCGAGCGGGTCATCGGAAACTTGTAACTATCATCACTTTTCGGCTCCTGGATTGAATACGGAAGAAGCGTCTGTGAGTGAATTGCGAGGAAGGCTCAGGCGAGAGCCCCATTCCCATTGGGTCCGCACTTCACGTTGGTAATCCGAGCAAGTCATCGGAAACCTGTAATTGCCGTTACTTTTCGGCTCCTCTGGATTGAATATGGAGGAAATCTCGGGCGATAGCTTCGTCTGTGAGTGAATTGCGAGGAAGCCTCCGGCGAGAGCCCCTTCCCCATGTGGTCCGCATATCACGTTGATAGTCATAGCGGATCGTCGGACACATGTAACCGTCGTCATTTCTCGGCTCTTCTGGATTGAGTATGGAGGAGGACTCATGCGAGAACTTCGTCTGTGAGTGAATCCCGAAGAAGTCTCAGGTGGGAGCCCCCTCCCGAGCGGGCCCGCGCTTCCTGTTGGTAAACCGAGCGGGTCATTGGCAAACTCAACCAGGCATGGCGTTTAAGCACCCCAAAGGGGCCCATTCACAAGAGGCCGCATCGCCAGTTCGGGCTCGTCCCCATCGTGTTGCACTTCGGCACTTTCCTGCAGCTGAAACCCACTGGTAGCGACGGCCTCTTGACGGACGTGAGCGAGCTTCTGGACGACGGGTCGCGCGAATACGCGGAGCCGCCGACGGTGGACATCCAGCACGCCATCAGGGTCTTCTTTCAGATCTCCTGCGTCTTCGAGTTCAAGGGCACGAAGCGTTTCGAGCCCAGGGATCATCTAAACGCGTTCTTGGGTTGCACGCTCGCGGGCAGACCATTCCCACCAGAGGTCTGGTCCGCCTGGGAGATGACGTTTGCCTCGGACAACCACGGCGTCTTGGACCCTCGGCAACAGCGCGAGTTTTTGCGGCTCGGCTACGGCATGGACATCTACTGGGTGACGCTGGAGAGGGGATCAACGCGCGTTCTCGTCGCGACGCGCGGCGTCTGGGCGCGCCCTTCGTTTTCTTGCATTCCGTAGACTCTAGCCGAGTGCAGCGCGTTCATGGCGACCTAGACGCAGGCCGCGTCTCCTGAACGTCCCGAACATGCGCTAGACGGGGGACGTCCACGGCGACTTACCGGCTCGCGTTGGCATGGAGGTCTGGTTCACGGCCGTGCCAGAGGAGCTGAAGAATAAGTCGGGGCTCGTGCAGGAGCAACGGGCCACCGTCGCGCCCTTCGAGCTGCGCCCAGACGACGAGCGGGGCCACGAGGAGCGCGCGCCGGGCCAGCTCTCTCGTCGTTCCCGCTACCAACCGCGGGGAAGTTGGATGCAGGTCCACGGCTCCAACGAGCCCCCGATCTGCGAGGAGGTCGCCCAGGTGCTGCTGCTGAGCGCCGACTGCGGTGACGACGACGGCGAGGCCGAGGCGCGGGCGAGGAGCTTGCTCGCGTTCAGGTCCAGCGAGCAGGAGTTCGCGCGGCAGAGGTCGGGGCCGCGCGTCGCGCGCCGCTCGGGGTCCACCCGGGCGCGCGCATCCTGCATGACCTCCACGCTGTCGCAGGGTCAGACGTTGCGCAAGGGCGTCGCCGTCGACTGCGCCAGGGACGAGGGCGCTGGTCGCACGGGCATTTCGGACGAGCAGCGGCGGCTGCACTTCGACTCCATGTTCTCCCGCGCCACGCGCGTGCGGAACGTGCTAATCCCGCGGCCGCCCGCGCGAGAGTTCCTGGGGCGCGGGCCGGCGGCGCCCCCGCGGAAGGCGTTCGAGGAGTTCGACGAGAGACCGGTTGACCCCAGGGCTGCAGGATCGCTCGCGGCAGAGCTGACTGAACTTCGCGCTGCTTCCCGCCTGAGCGCGGGCGCGACTAACTCGGCGCCTGCGGGGTTGTCCCAGCGGCTTGCTCTCGCGCCCCAGCGGCTCGCGGGGTTGCGCCGGCGGCGCTTGCCCCGACGGCTTCGCGATTTTGTCATCGGAGAACGCGCCCCTGCCGGGCGCGGCGGCGAGGGCGCCGAGGAAACGCGAGGAGAACAGGCGGGATGGAGATGCGGGGGGGAGGGGGGGGGGCGGGGGGGGCAGAAGGAAGGAGGAAGAGGGCGACGAGGTAGGGGGGGAATTGGACAGGGAGGGCGAGCAGGAGGAGGAGACGAAGGGCGAGGAAGACAGAGGACGAGGAGGAGGCGCAAGAAAGGGCGAAACGGGGGGCTTCGGCCAGGGCGAAGAGAAAGAGCGAAGGCCAATCTAAATTTATTATCATGTGGTGCCCGTCCGTCGGAATACTTGTACATGGCGATGGCGGGGGGGGGGGGCGGTAAGGGCGCCCCCTGGGATGCGTGCGTGTGTGTATATATATAAATGTATTATGTACATATATATATATATATAAATATGTCGCGTTCCGTTGTCATTTTGGCTCAAGAATCAAACCTTGAGCGGGTAGCTCACAGCAGTGAGCTACCCTGCGTGTCACGCGCAGGCGGACTTGTCGACGCGAAAGCAGGGGGATGCCGGTTGAGCAGGGCCGGCCGGCGCGCGATGGCCGCGATGGCAGCCCTCATGGCGGCGCTGACCGGTGCAGTCGCAGCGGCGAGGGGCGTCTTGCGAAGGCAGCGGGCGCCCGGGCTGGCCAGGGCGATCGTGGACCCGATCCCCTGCAGGCCAACGACGCCTGATCTGCGGCGCGGGGCCCAGATCGCGCGGGCGGGGGGGGGTGCGGGCTGGGCCAGCCGGGTCCGGCATGGAAGATGATGACGAAGATCAACCTTGGGCCGCCGCTCTGCGGGCGCAGGAGGGCCGCCGCGCCAAGTTGGCGCAGGACAGCGTGGCCAGCGTGGGCAACGAGGCCGCGAGCGACTGCAAGGCGGCCGCCACCGTGGCCATCCGGGGGCTCGGGAAGGGCTTCGAGGCGAGGTGCGCCAACGTCGAGAGGAACGTCCACCAGCAGGGCTCCAAGACCAACACGTGCGAGGCCCAGATTGCCACGCTCCAGCGGGACATTCAGGAGCTCTGCGAGCAGCTCGAGATCGCGAAGAAGGAGGTGCTGGGGCCGAAGGTCGTCTTCGAGGAGGCTCAACGCTTCGCCCGCCCGCCGGGCCCAGCCGTCATGGTGGCGCGGACGCGGGCGACGGCTGCCGTGCCCATGGCGGAGGTGGAGAGCGCGCTGCAGGAGTGGCTTGGGGCGGCCAACCTGCTGGCCGTGGACGGGCAGCAGGAGGCGAAGTACAATATCGAGGGAGAGCGGGTTGGCAGCCGATTCCTGGCGCGAATGCAGGGACTCCCGGGCACGGCGGCGCAGCGGGCCAGGCAGGCCGATTCGACGTTCCGCACGCCCGATGGCACATGAATGTCCTTCCGGGCGAAGGGGCTCGGCTCTGCCGGTATGGTGGAGCTCTTCGTTGGGCTGGACCGGAACCCTAAGCAGGTGCGCACAGAGATCATCTGCAAGCAGGCGAAGCGGATCTTCTCCGCCACCTACCCCAACCGGAGGTTGTTCATCGACAAAAACTCGGGCACGCTCAGCACGGGCTAAATTCGGGTGTTGCAAATCCGGGTAAGCGATGCGACGTCGCAGCCGCGCCTGGGCTGGTGCGACAAGCACGCGGCGCTGTTCGGCGTGGACGAGTCGGCTATCGCGGAGGAGCTCCTGGCCGGCGTGGCGAGGGCCGACGTGACCGAGTATAGTTTTTAGCCCGCTCGCGCGCTGCCTGCAAGTTGCGGGCGGCGGCTTCCGCTTTGCCGCGTGGAATGCCCAGGCGCTGCAGTGCTGGGACCGCCAGCGCTCGATGGCGAAGTGGGGGTATTTGAAGCGCCTGCTGGTCCCTGGCACGGCGGTGGCAGAGCAGGAGACGCACGGCAGCTCTGAGTTGTTAGCGCGAACGTTGGCTAGGATGGGGCCTGGCTGGCAAGTGCGGCACTCGCCTCATCGTGATGCGGGCGCTCGTGGGGCTGCAACTTGTTGGCCATCGTGCAGCAGCGGCGTGGAGGGGCCCGCACCAGTTTTGCCTGGGGGAAGTCGTTGTTGAGGGGAGGATTTTACGCGCGGGGCCCGCGTCTCGAACTCCGACTTCAAGCTGATTCATTATAGCATCCACAACTACGGTATTGCCGCTGTGATGGCGGGTGCGTTCCAGGCAGCTTGCCATCGACGGGCGCGAGGTCCAGGCGCGCCCGCAGAGTGTCTTTCTGGCTGTTGTGGGGGACTTCAACATCCCTGAAGGCTCCGCGCGGCCGCTCTCCCCCGGTGTGATGCAGCGACCGAGGGTGGCTACCTAAGCGGTCCCGCCCGGCGGGCGCCCGACCAATCGCGCTTGCAGACGAGCGTCGAGTCAGGCCTTTTGGGCGGCCGGCCGGCTCACCGACCGCTCGAGACCCAATGGCGGCGCGCGCTGGCTGGCTTAATCCGGATCGAGCACGAGGAGCCGACCTGGGTGGACCGCGCTAAGGCCAGAGTCTCCATTCTCGACCACATCTACGTGGGGTGCCCTGGCTGCCTCTTCAATCAGCTGGAGGGCTCGGTCAGCCTGGCCAGCGCGCCTGAGGTGGTGGAGGCGAGTGGCATCAGTGACCATGCAGCTGTTGCGGCACTGTTGCGGCCGCGCTTGACGACGCCCGCGGCCGAGCGCCCCATCGAGCCCAACCTCTTTCGCTTGTCCTTCTTCGTGGAGGAGTCGAAGCTCATGCTGGAGCAGGCGGGCCTCAGCGGCGTTGCGCCCTCGAAGCTGCACCTGTTCAAGCAGCCGGGGCGCGAGGCTGCGCGGCGCACCCGGGATTGGCTTCTTCTCGAGGGTCCTGGTGTTCACGGCGCACAGTATCAGTTGGCGCGCTCCTTGGCGCGCGTGGCATGGCGCCAGGATGCGCGGCTGGCGGCCCGGGTGCTGGCGACATGTCCAGCGCTCGCTGGCTATCTGGATTTGGAGGCCCTGCCTGGTGGTTATCCGCGACCCCGTTGCCTTCCAGTTCTGATCGGATCGCTTCCACGCGGAGCACCTGGAGCAGGAGAAGCAGTTCATTGAGGAGCACAAGAACACCGTCAACGGGAGGGGCGCGGTGAAGTGCGAGCGGAAGCTGGGGGCCGCCCCGCGGAGAGCGGCACTCTGGCTGCCGCGGGGCAGGAGGGCGCGGTTGCAGGCCCTCGTCGTCGGGGACGACGTGGCGAGGGACGAGCAGAGCATCGCCCAGGGGCTGAGGGGGCACTGGGGCCAGGTGTTCGAGCGCAAACCCGTCGACCAGAGGGAGATGCATGCGTATCTCGACCGGATGGGGATCCACCGCGAGGATTTCGGCGCGCTGGAGCCTCCCGCGGCGCGCGACTTCGAGCGGAAGCTTGCCGAGAGCCTGGGCCGGAGCGCGCCTGGGCCAGACGGCTTGCGCTTTGAATTCTGGTGGCAGGCCCCGGGGGCTGCTGGCCTCTTGGCTGAGGCAGCGCAGTGGATGGCTGACGGTAGCGGCATGAATGTGGAGTTCAACGGCTGCCTGGCCCTCTTCATTCCGAAGGGGGGCTTCGATTTGGACGGGGAGGGGGTGCAGCGGGAGGCTGGGGACATGCGCCCTTTGAGCCTCCGCAACACCAATATCAAGGTGATTGCGTCTGTTCTGGCGGGCAAACTGGCACGGGCGGCTCGAAAGGCTGTGCCGTCTTCGCGGAGAGGCTTCCTCAAGAGGCGCATCTTCGGACGCAGCGCGGCCGCGCTGGACGGTGCGGCGCGCGTGCGCTCGGCGTCGGACGGGCCGCGCGCCCGGCTTCCGGTGCTCGCGTTCTTTGCTTTCCAGCGCGCTTGCCCGAGCATCGGCCAAATGTTCATGGTGGAGGCGATGAGGAGGACGGGGGTCCCTGACGGCGCAGTCAACATGCTGCAGGGGTTCTACGCCGGCGTGCACTGCCTGGGAGCGGCGCATGGGCAGCTGGTCTTCCTTTTCGCACTGGAGTCCGGCATCCTGCAGGGATGCCCGTTGTCGGGGGTGATGTTCGCCCTGTGCGCGGCATCGTTGTTCGCGGATTCGGAGATGCATGTGGACGCGAAGGGTCGCGGTGCGACTGGTGGCTGCGCGGGCGATGTTGGCGCTGCCTTCAAACAGCTGATGTCGCTGCTCCCTGTGGAGCGGATCTCTGCCGTCTATGAGAAAATCTCTTGTCTGCAGCTCAAGCCGCCCAAGTGCATCCTGGTTCCAGTCGGGGGGCCCTTCGATCCGGACGTGGTGCAGCGCATTCAGGCGTGGCTGAGGGGGCATCTGCCGCAGTGGCAGTCCTTCAATGCGAAACCGCGGGCCGACTAACTCGGGGCGCGCCTGGGCCCCAGCGTTGCGGATCAGGCGTTGCGGAGCAAGCTTTGGCAGAAATGGCGCGGGCGCGGCCATGCATTGGGGCGCATTGGCGCCTCCTCGACGCTGGAGACGGGCGCGTTGTACAACCAGCGCGCGGTGCCGACGATGGGCTATCTTGCGCAGTTCGCTTCCCTGCCCAAGGACGGCGCTCTCCGAGAGTGGACGGTCCTCGCCTCCAACCTCAGGACGCCGCGCAACGCCTGGGGTTGGGGGGGCTGGTTCTCCTTGGGGCGCCGGCGTGGCCCGCCCATCCGCTTGGCGGCGATGGCGGCGATGGCCGTTCTCACGCGCGCGGCGCTGGTCTCCCATAGCAGCTGGCAGGAGTAGATCCAGAAGATGGACGCCGCGATGATGGAAGCCTCGCTGCTGGTCATCCGCAGGCGGCAGCAGGCCGCTGGATGCGACAGTCTTATGCGGAAGACCTCTGCGACGCAGCCGGCGGGTTCGCCAGCCGCGGCGGCATGGTCGCCGTCGCCGGCCGTTGTGCTCTGCAGGAGGCCCGGAAGAAGCTGGGGGACATCCGCGCACTGGAGGGCCGCGACGGAAGGCCCAGGAGAAAGGAGATTCAGGCTACCATCCAGAGTGCGATCGAGCGGACGCTATTGCCCGAGGATTTGGCGGCCCTGCTGTTCAGGCGCGCGGTGACCTGGTGGCCTGGGCTCGCGGTGTGGATCGTGGACATCCAGTGGGAGCGGCTCTGGGCCCTGCTGCAGAAGGTGCCTGCGTCGTGGGCGTTGGCCGTCTTGCGCACCTGGTCGGGTGCCTGGGCCACGGCGGCACGCATCAAGCCCACGGCGGGACGCTGCGTGGACGGCACTGTTCTTCGTGTGCCCGGTCCTCGGCAGGATCCTCGAGGAGATGTTGGGGCTGGACCACCTGCCACCCGACCTGCTCGTTCGGTGGGGCTATGCGAGCACGGCTGAGAAGGATCTCTTAGTGCCTGCCCTCGCGTACTCGATTTTTACCTAACAGCTTTTGCTGATAGGTTTCTAGTGGACTCAAAAGAGAGCAGCAAATGACTCCACAGGGGGGTCGGGGCGGCATCCAGGGAGCTGTGTCCGAACTCGTGTCCGAATTCGTTTTTCGCAAACAGTCACACACTTCGTGGTCTTCGACCTCCCAGAACTCCATTCCCGGGCCCCATTTTGAATGCCCAGAGCCAGCTGTAGGCCACTTCGTGCTCTTCGACTTCCCAGAACTCCATTCCCGGGCCACATTTTGAATGCCCAGAGCCAACTGTAGGCCACTTCGTGCTCCTCGAATGCCCAGAACTCCATTCCCGGGCCACATTGTGAATGCCCGGAGCCAACTGTAGGCCACTCCGTGCTCTTCGAGTGCCCAGAACTCCATTCCCGGGCCACATTTTGAATGCCCGGAGCCATCTGTAGGCCACTTCGTGCTCTTCGAGTTCCCAGAACTCCACTCCCGGGCCACATTTTGATGCTGATGCAGAGGCTGAGAATGGTGATGCTGATGCTGAGGCTGAGGCTGAGGCAGGCAGGCAGGCTGAGGCTGATGAGGCTGAGGCAGGCTGAGGCTGAGGCCGAGGCTGAAGGCAGGCTGAGGCAGACGCTGAGGCAGGCTGAGGCTGAGGCAGGCTGAGGCACAGAGGCTGAGGCTGAGGCGGGCTGATGCTGAGGCAGGCTGAGGCTGAGGCTGAGGCTGAAGGCAGACTGAGGCTGAGGCAGGCTGAGGCAGACGCTGAGGCAGGCTGATGCTGAGGCAGGCTGAGGCTGAGGCTGAGGCTGAGGCGGATGCAGACTGATGCTGAGGCAGGCTGAGGCACAGAGGCTGAGGCTGAAGGCAGACTGAGGCTGAGGCTGAAGCAGGCTGAGGCTGAGGCAGGCTGAGGCTGAGACTGAGGCAGGCTGATGCTGAGGCAGGCTGAGGCTGAGGCTGAGGCAGGCTGAGGCTGAGGCAGGCTGGCTGAGGCTGAGGCTGAGGCTGAGGCTGAGGCAGGCTGATGCAGGCTGGCTGAGGCAGGCTGAGGCTGAGGCCGAGGCTGAAGGCAGGCTGAGGCTGAGGCTGAAGCAGGCTGAGGCTGAGGCTGAGGCAGGCTGAGGCTGAGGCTGCAGGCTGCTGAGGCAGGCTGAGGCTGAGGCAGGCTGAGGCTGAGGCTGAGGCTGAAGGCAGACTGAGGCTGAGGCTGAAGCAGGCTGAGGCTGAGGCTGAGGCAGGCTGAGGCTGAGGCTGAGGCAGGCTGATACTGAGGCAGGCTGAGGCTGTGACTGCGACTGCCGCTGCCACTGCGACTGTCATCGCGAATGCGACTGCGACTGCGAGAACAGCAGAACTCTACAACTGGGTTCTCATCTGAATCTTAAGGGGAATGCTTCCATATATGCTTCTACACATCGCTGTTAGGTTGCTTTGCCGGGATGATCATTGTGTCAAGCCAATCACGGAGGGTGGTGCGATTCTTCCTCGTGAACGCTTAAACGACATAGCGAGGGCGGCACTTGAGATCCTTCTCCGTGCTCGTACAGGTTGCCAGAGGTGTGGGCCGGCCACGCTCCTCAACTTTTTGTGAGCCGCTGAGGTAGGCTCGGCGGCCACGGCCAGAACGGTGCGCAGCGCACGAACCATACACACATACACACATACATATAGTTGCCCATATATATATATATATATATGCATGTATATTTACACATGATATACTCGTTGTTCGTGTCGTCCTGCACGGCATGGACCAGATAACCGAGGGGGCTCCTGGCGACGTGCTTCTCAGCAGCGACGGCGTTCTCGAATGCCATTGGGCTGTTCTTCTTCATGGGCACGAAAGGTCGACGACGTCTGACTGCGTGAGTTTTCGCGACTTTCTTCTTGGCTGAACCTTTCTTATCCGTCTTGAACGCCTCCGCAGCTCCCACCGCCAAACTCACTCCTGAAGGTCGGTCCAAGCCCTCGTCGCCGCTGTCCGCGATCCTGTCGTACCACTCGTTCGAATCGTCCGCTGGGATCTCCTGGCTTGCCTGGCTGTGGGCATGGGGGGACCAGGGTTTCCCAGACCGCCCCCACAGCACCCAGAGCGGCCCTGGAGCTCCCAGACTGCCCCAGAGAGTTCCCAAAAACCTTCGGTGGACTTCGACAAGCCCCTCCAAGGCAGCCCAGCCCAGATAGCCCCAACGTGGCCCCAGATGGGCTCCAGACCGCAAATACGCAGCCCAAGAGGCTTCCAAGATGCCTCAAGAGACTTCCGAGAGGCATAGAGCCCGAAGAGGCCCAAATCCTTGATTTCCAGTTAGTTTTGTGATGTTTTTCGGTGTCTCGCGTTTTCGACCTTCCGACGCTCCACGACGGCCGACGACGCCCCCAAGACCGCCCCAAGGCCGCCGAAGAGGCCCCCAACAGAGCCCCAAGACGGCCACAGGGAGCCCGAATATTGCCCGGGACGAGCCTCAAACGGCCCAACTGAGCCTCAGGACAGGCCCAAGCTGGGCCCCAGGGAAGCCCCAATGCGCTCCAGGACTGCCTTGATGGCCCCAACGTGGCCCCAGATGGGCCCAACGCTGCCAACGCACAGCTCAAGAACCCTCCAAGAGGCCCCAAGAGCGCTCCGAAAGGCGTCCCGACAGAGCCCGAAGAGGCCCATTTCCTTGAGTTTCGGTGTTTTGTTGTTAATGTTTGTCGCTTTCTCGCGTTCTCGAGCTTCCAACGCTCCAAGATGGCCGAAGACGCCCCGAAGATCGCCCCAAGACCGCCGAAGAGGCCTTGAAAAGAGCCACAAGACGGCCCAGGAGAGTCTGAAGACTGCCCAAGAGCAGCCCGAGACTGCCCCAGATAATCCCAGGAGAGGCACAAGATGGGCCCCAGAGCGGGAGCGGGAGGCCCCAAGGAGCTTCAGGACGGCCCAGACGATCCCGCCGTGGCCCAAGAGGAGCTCAAGACGGCAAACACACAGCCCAAGAGGCCTCCAAGAGGGCTCAAGAGAGCTCCGAGGCCCAAATCATTGATATGCACTGGTTTGTTCGATGTTTTTTACTTTCTCGCGTTCTCGAGCTTCCAGTGCTCGAAGACGGCAGAAGACGCCCCCAAGACCGCCCCAATATTGCCGAAGAGACACACAAAAGACCCTCCAGACGGCCCCAGGGAGCCCGAAAATTGCCGAGTCCCAGACGGCCCAGGAGAGCCCCAGGACAGGCCCAAGCTGGGCCACAGAGCGGGAGCAGGAGACCCCAAGGCGCTCCAAGACGGCTCAGATGGCCCCAACGTCGCCCCAGTTGGGCCCACGGCAAACACACAGGCCAAGAGGCCCCAAGAGGCCCCAAGAAAGCTCCGAGAGGCGTCCCGAGTGAGCCCGAAGAGGCCCAAATCCTTGATGTTCCGTCGTCGTTCAATGTTTTCCTCTTGGGTTGCCTCTCGGGGCCCTCTTGGGGGTCCTCTGGGAGCTCTCTTGGGGCATCTCGGCGGCCTCTCGGGCCATCTTGGAGCCGTCTGCGGCCCATCTTGGGGCCAGCTGTGCCCTGCTGGACCCGGCCTGGAGCCATTTTGAGCCGAATGGGGCCATCCGTGAGCCTACAAAAGACATTGGGGCGCCGCCGTGACTCGCGCCCTGCGGGCCTTGCATTCGAAAAACGAAGGAGTTGCCATCTCTTCCTCGGCGGCCGCACCGGGTCTCGGGCTGGACGGTGTGACGCCCACATCGGCGGGGGGGGTAACCTCTGTCGTTGGGGGCCCTCGGCCTCAGCCTTGCCCTGCTGGTGGCGGCGATAGCCAGGCGCCCGTGGCCGTCTTGGATGGGGCGGCGACGGCGGCTTCATAGCCGCCAGAGCGGCACACCGGCCCAGACGACGGGCAGCAACGAGGCGGCGACGGGGCGGGGACGGCGGCTACATAGCCGCCAAACCGGCACACCAGCCCAGATCTTCAGAAAAGAAGGCAACCCCTAAGCGCAAACACGTTCTCTCATCCTTCTTCCTCGTCGACTTGTTTCTCCTCGTCCTGTTTCTCCTTGGTCTCTTCTTCCTTCTTAATCTTCCCCCAGGGACAAGAATTTCACAACATACCCTAGAACGTCCCAAGCATCTGTCAGATTCCCGGTTCCCCGTCCTCTTCTTCCTCCTTCCCGCTTTTTCCCCCTCCTCATCCCCATGCAACGGCCTCCTTCGCCGAGAAAGCAGGCGACCATGGACACATGATTGAACGCCTTCGATCGTCATTGACCAGTGGCGGCATCCCAACAAAACCTTCCTGCAAAGCCAGTATTGGGAATGCTTTACGGCCAGTGCCGCCGACCCTGAAGGGGGACGACGGCGAAGACAACGACGACGCTCTGGAGCCCTTCTTGGGGCTCTCTTGTGAAGCTCTGTTGGGGGGCCTTGGGGGACTTCGGACGGGGCCAGGACAAGGATGAATCCGTTCCAGAGCGAGAAAGCTCTCAGAGCGTTGCGGAACGCTGTGAGAAGGCCGCGGCGCCCGAAGCATCCTCCAGAGCCGCGGGATCTCAGAGGTTCTCGATCTATCCTTACCTGAATTTATCCTCGCCCTTGCCTCGTCTTAGGATTTCTTGATGTCGATAAAACCCAATTGCAAAACCACGAGCCTGCATGCTGTGGCGCCGAGGCCCCCGCGGTGCCCCCGCTGCGGGCGCGGCGGGCGTTCCGGCCCGCGAGGTGGTACCGCGCCCCCGAGCTGATCCTGCTGCAGGAGAAAGGGGCAGGTTTCGAGGAGGAGGAGGAGGAGGAGGAGGAGGAGGAGGAGGAGGAGGAGTGGCGGGCAGGTATGGGCCAGGAAAGGATCTGGGGGGGGGCCTCCAGGAGGAGGAGGAGGAGGAGGACGAGGATCACAGGAGGATCAGAGGAGGATCAAAGAAGAAGAGGAGGAGGTACCGATACCGCTACCCTTCGCCCGTTTCCTCCCATTCCGGTCTCCTCGGTTACAAGAACCTTCCCTCCAACTTCCCTCTTGGCAGGTTCCTACAAGGATCCGTCTTAACTGCGGGAAGAGCCACGTCGGAAGAAAACCATTTGAAAATTCTCAACCGTGCCAAAGTACCAGTCCTGGGACTTCAAAACCGCGAATCAACGTCACTCGTCACTGTTGCGACCTGCCTATCCCAAATTGCGCCAGAATGCCATTTCTGGGACGTCAACACAGTGAATCAACGTGACTGCTGCGCCCTGACAACCTGAAATCGTGCCAAAACACAGTTTCTGGGACGTCAGCTAAAATATCGGTGGAACTGAAGTAAACGGTTAAGACGAATGTACGCGGCGCTAAGGCGAGAGCTACATTTTGAAAAGAAACCGCCCTCCATCCGTGAATCCCTTACAAGCTGTTAAGACGAATGCGCGCGGCGTTAAGGCGATAGCCACATTAAAAAACGGCCGCCCCCAATCCGTGAACGTCTTGCAGACTTTTAAGACGAACGTGTGCGGCGCTAAAGCAAGAACTACATTTTGAAAACCATGTATGTTTATACTATGTGTACCTGCTTTTGAAACATTTTGAGAACCATTTTGAAGAGTCTGCCAGGAAGGCCAAACACGTATGTTTATACTATGTGTTCGGCTTGAGCGTGTGCCTCCAGGGGTGTAGTAGTATGTCGCGACCCGTTCGGTCTTCATCCCGCCCAGCGGCAGGATAACTACACCGAGGCCATTGACGTGTGGTCGGTCGGGTGCATTTATGCAGAGTTGCTGGGCATGCTCGAGGGGACGAGACCAACAGATCGCGGCCCCCTCTTCCCTGGTTCCGAGCACTGTATCGGCAGCAAGCAGAGCTAGACGGAAGCACAGGGAGAGATGCAGAGAGACAGAGAGGGGTGTAGATCCACACTTCCAACGTCTCGAGAGTCTCAACGCTGACGTTTTTCGCAGTTTTCGACCCCTTGGAGCCTTCGCTGGGCCCAGGACAGAAAGGCTCAGGACGAAGAAGCGCTCCTGGGGAAAACGCAGCCTGGGCCTAAAAGGTGCCCTTCTCCAGGGCGGCGCGAGGGCGCGAAGATTACCGCGCGCCGCGCATCGTAGGGCGCGAAGCGCGAAGTTAAGCGACACGGGATGTCTGGGGAGGCGCGCCGTTGGGAGCCGATCTTGGGCACGGGATCGGTGCACCCAGGCCACCAAGCGTCGCGCGCCGCGGCCAGCGCTGCCCACGAGCCTGAGAAGCGCTGCCAAAGAACTGCCTGGTCGGGCGGGTGGTAATGGGGGGTGGCCTGAATGGGGGGGTGAAGACAAGGCCCTTCATGGGAACTGCCTCTGCTGGCTTCAAAAGGGGCCCTAAAGGGCCCCTTGGGCGCCCCCCCCTTGGCCACCCCCCATTACCACCCGCCCGACCTGGGAGCTGCGCGCGAGCTCAGGAAGCGTTGCGAAGGAGCCGCGCAAACGCTTCCGCACAAAGGCAACGGTCTTCGGATCAAGCCATCTAGGGACGGATCCAAGCGAAGAGGTACCGAAAAAGTGTATGCAGCATTAGTTTGTATGTTTTCCGTTCCTTACAGGAGGAAGGCAAGCTGGGCCCGCTTGCGCCACGCCTGACTTCCTGCCCCTCCCAGCCTGCCAGATCATGGTACTACCTTCATTCGCCTGCTGATGGGGGTCGCTCTTTGGGGGGTCAATGAACAGTGGATTGGTTCCCGCATTCTTTCGCAAGTGCACGCGGCAATTATGATGCGACTTTCAATCGAATGTGTGGAAAACGTGGTCGTTGATTTTCCTAATCCTCACTGGCACTGCCATGTGACATCGCACCTGATATCACCAGCAACGCAAGTAGGATGACCATAGTGCAGTTCCCTGCCCTCGTGAACAGCCATCGCGTTGCTCTCCATCACGAGGGGATGCTGGATGTATGGACGCATCTTCCGTTTCTGGCACCGGGGGGAGCTCGGTTTCGCAAGCGTTAACGGTCGTCATGACCGCGAGGGGTGCCACGCGCGTCGCCGCCCGCATGGTTCGCGGCACCAGAGGGACGGGCATCGGCACTGAAGCCGCCCGCGCGGATCCCCAGATCCAGTCCAGGGGGCAGCGTCGTTGACGCCGCCTACACGGCGCCCATCCCTCGCGGGACATGGATTTGGCCGGTGTCCGCATTAATCCGAGTCCCGAGGGAAGAAGAAATCAGGATTGAGACAGAGCGCGGTCCGACTGGTCTTCGGTCGCGTTTTTTCCGCGGTTTCTCCGCCCGCACGGGATTGTAATTTGATGGAAAAATATGATTTTCATGATTTCCCGATCAGAAATTGCTGCGTCACGCCGTATCTGTGTATCTATTGTGTTTGGTTCCAGCCATTTCTTCGATTCGACAATGATCCAGATGCCTTCCTTATGTTTCCGCCTTCCTTCCCTTCTCGGGAGCAGCTCCCTCCCCATAATGGGCTGACTCGTAATTCGATCGATTATGTTTTCCCCATGCTTCGGGCAAGATTTCGTGGCGCTAGGATCCCACATCCCAGTTGTTTGTCCGCGTGGGCCGCGCGGGCCAGAGAGGGGAACATCCCTGCCATATCGGGCATCGGCAGGGGGTCCCGGTGGAAATCATGGGCGTTTCACCGCGGCCGCACCGCTGCTCCTGGCGACGAGCGCGCGCGCGATGTTCACCGCCGCCACAAGCAACAACGCCGGCGCGCGTTCCCGCCGCTCTGCGCCGACCCGCCTTGTCGGCCCGCACAACGCGAGACGCGGAGACTGCTAGTCGAGGCTGTTCCCCGCGAGCGGGCCGTATCGAGAGACGCGCAGGGTGGCAGCCATTCCTGGGTGCTCGCAAGGCTGGCGGCAATGGCCAGATGCGGCTCCTTTCGAGGCATATGATTTTTGGATAACGGGCGTCAGGCTCACCAGGGTCTAGCCTGATTCATCATTCCGCTCCTAATCTAGGAACTTGTCAGTCGCCCATGCATTGCCCACCAACTTCGACAGACTTTCCCTTGCACTCCCCTCTGGACCTCGCGGAGGCAAAACCCCAATTGCCTGGCAGTAGAAAATAAGTTACATGATCTCAGGCAGTCCCACGAAGTTCAAAGAAACCATTCGATGATTCAGGAAAAACGGATTGTCCTCTAAGTTTATTGAGGGGGCGACCACGTCCCAAAGGAGTTGAACCGATTCCTATTCTGACCCCCAGAAGTCCGACCCCCAATTCGTAGGCGTTTGAGCCCTGGGGGGGCTGTTGAAGCCAGCCGAGACTACTCGAAGGGCCTGTCTGTGCGCAACCGAAGCCTTACCATCCCCCCCCCTCTCTCTCTCTCTTTCTTTTTGTTGTGTTTATCTCTCTCTCTCTCTCTTTTTCTCTTGCTCTGAGTGGCGCACGCTGCCGGCCAGAGCCCGAGACCCAGACCCCCAACGTCATGCTTTTTTCACCACGTCGTTCCCCAGATGTTACGTCCCATTCCCCAGGACCGGCTTTTCAACCTGAGTCGTTTTTTGACGGTCGGCCATCCCGGCACGCTTGCGCCACTCGACATCCTTCCCCTCCCACCCTTTTGGGCCATGGTGTTGGATCCACTGCTGTCCGCCGCGTGGAGCGTTTCAGAGAATCTCGATCGCCTGGGGTCTCGGACCCCGGGGATCTTCCGCTGGGCCGCCAGGGGGTCGCAGGCGGCGATCCCAGGCCCCAGACGGGCCCGGCCAGGACCAGCGGGGCGGGAGGTCAGCTGGCATCCCTCGGGCCCAGGGGCGCGCCAGCCCGGGCCAGCGCCAACTCGGGCCAGTCAAGGCCACGTCGTGGCCCCCAGCCATTCGTAGTAGCCCTCAGCCCCAGACCCCCGACGTCATGACTTTTTCTGACGTCGACCCCCAGCTCCCGGACAGGTTTTCATCCTCGGTCCTCTTTCGACGTGCAGGGCCCCGGTGAGGGCCCCCGGGGGGCCACAAACCCGGCCACACGCAGAGGGGGGTAGGGGGAGGGGGGAAGGTTTCTTCGAAGCAGCCCTGCTTCTTGGCCGGCGCGGGCCTTCTTTGTGGATGTAAGGCCGGCGCCTTCTGAGAAGCAGCCTCCTTCTAAGAAACCTACCCGCCTCCCCCTGCCCCTCTTCATGGCGCCAACATCGCAGAGCGGATTTCGCTCGGAAAACAATTCTAGACGCTTCGCGTATCCCCACCAGCCCGTCCAGAAATGAGGCCCAGGGGAGTGGAGGTGATGAGGGAAGCGGGGGAGCATGCAGAAGAACAAAGAGCGGGTTGAGCCGCCATACGCCCCAAGAGGGGGAGGATGTAGGAGGAGTCGTCGTCGTCGGAGTAGGAGGAGGAAGACGAGGAGCAGGAGGAGGAGCAGGAGGAGGAGGGAGGAGGAGGAGGAGGAGGAGGAGGAGGAAGATGAGGAGGAGGAGATGGAGGAGGGCGAGGACGAGGAGGACGAGAAGGAGGAGGAGGAGGAGGAGAAGGAGCAGGGAGGAAGAGGAGGAGCAGGAGGAGGAGCAGGAGGAGGAGGAGGAGGAAGATAAGGAGGAGGAGATGGAGGACTGCGAGGACGAGGGGGACGAGAAGGAGGAAAAGGAAAAGGAGGAGGAGGAGGAGGAGGAGGAGGGGAGGAGGGAGGAGGGAAGGAAGGAGGAGGAGGAGGACAATGGCGAGCTTGGGGGCCTCTTGGGCCGTCTTTGGAGCCTCTTGGCGGTCCCGGGGGCCTCTTGCGTATCTCGGGGAGCCTCTTGTGGCCTCTTGGGGGTCTCTTGGGGGCCTCTTGGAGGCCTCTTGGGGGCCTCTTGGGGCCTCTTGGGGCTCTCTTGGGGCGCTCTTGGGGCGCTCTTGGGAGCTTTCGAGGCGCTCTTGGGGCCATCTTGGAGGAGATCTATCAAAGAAGGGGGGGTCCTCAATTAGCGCTGCCCCTCTAGAGTGCCTCGAATCGCTTCTTGGGCCCTTCTTGAGGCCAAAATCTTTCCAAAACCTAGGTAAAATCAATGTTTTGTGTTTTCTCGCCTTTTCGCTCTTGGAGCCGTCTTGGGCCGTCTTGGGAGCCTCTTGGGCCTCTTGGAGGTCTCTTGGGAGCCTTTTGGAGGCCTCTTGGGCGCCTCTTGGGGCCTCTTGGGGCGCTCTTGGGGCGCTCTTGGGGCGCTCTTGGGAGCCTTCGGGGCGCTCTTGGGGCCATCTTGGAGGAGATCGATCAAAGAAGAGGGGGTCCCCAATTAGCGTTGCCCCTCTAGAGTGCCTCGAGTCGCCTCTTGGGCCCCCCAAGAGGCCAAAATCCTTCCAAAACCTAGGTAAAATCATTGTTTGTTGCTTTCTCGCCTTTTCGCTCTTGGAGCCGTCTTGGGCCATCTTGAACTCTCTTGGGGCCTCTTGGGGGTCTCTTGGCAGCCTCTTAGAGGCTTCTTGGGGGCCTCTTGGGGTCTCTCGGGGCCCTCTTGGGGCGCTCTTGGGGCGCTCTTGGGAGCCTTCGGGGCGCTCTTGGGGCCATCTTGGAGGAGATCTATCAAAGAAGGGGGGAGCTCCAATTAGGGTTGCCCCTCTAGAGTGCCTCGAAGCGCCTCTTGGGCCCCCCCAAGAGGCCAAAATCCTTCCAAAACCTAGGTAGAATCAATGTTTTGTGCTTTCTCGCTTTTTCGCTCTTGGAGCCGTCTTGAGCCATCTTGGGCGCCCTGACACCTCGCGAGACGCCTCGTCCAGGTCAGTGGGGAGGGGTAAGGGGAGGGGTAAACCCCTCCCCGAAGGGAAAGAAGGGGGGTTGGCAGAGGAAACGCTCTAGACCACCTACGCCCTAAAGGGCTGGTGGGATTCGATGTTCCTGGATTGTCCCGGAGAGTTTCGTTCCAGATTTCG